TTTTTTTTTTTTGGGTGGAAAAGTTTCACCTGAACTATGGGACATGTGAATTGTGACTAACATCTTTTGTCATATTCAAAGTACACTCGCTCCTTAGTGGTACTACGTATCTACTTCCTCTCTCTTCCATTTCCTTTCAGATTTGCTTTATCGCTATTGAGTGAGACCTGTCGACTTGTTGCCGTTACACGTGGTTTCGTACAATGACGTGCTTTTATGTTTATCATTTCAGTGGTGTGCCGTTATGTTTATCATTTCAATGATGTATCTTTATGTTTATCATTTCAGTGAAGTGCGTGATTAGTATGGGCAGTTTTTAGTTTGGTTTACCAAAGAGACGTTCTTTGACCGTTTCACTGACGCTTTTCCATCTTGAAATTCATACTTCAGTCGACAGCGAATCGCTCACCGTTTGCACATTGGTTCCTTTCGGGTCACATTTTTCATTTCCTCTTTCGTTCACTTTTTTCCTCACTCATTAATGTGACCAAAAATTTTCTGTCCTGGTGACTTTTCTGGCCAGTTTCCCTCTCCTGAATTTTTGAGATAGCGACTTTTAGAAAACTGAAGTAAGTTTGCCGTTGAAGAGCACTGTTGAATAAAATGAAATTTGCTTGTGTTCAAATTGAGCATGCAGACAGATTGCTTCTTCAATTTTTTCCATGGCTACACCGCGTTTGTGCTCCATTTCCAGTGATAGCTCGTGCCTTTGTAGCGGATAATCTGGTGGAAATTCCAACTTTTGTAGATACACTGCGAACATCTCCAAAAGCCATGATCGGGAATGCATCAGCATCTTCAGCAGCAGTAGGAGCAGCAGCAACAACAACAACAACAACAACAACAACAACAACAACAACAGCAGTATCAGCAGTGACTTCGTCAGACGCGTCCAAGAATCGCATCAATCGGGATTATCAGCAGCAGCAAAACAGCAGTACAGGTACCGAGATCACAGCGTCCACTACACCTGTGCGAGCTACAAACGAAGATGAGCGAAAACGAAGGCGTTTCCGTCAGCGTTCCAATAAAAAAGTGAATGTTGCCATGGGCAATAATTCTCGGATGGTGGATAGCTGCGCAACAAACGGTTGGTTGCGATGCTGTTTATTCAGATTCAAAATGCTAATGGAATAGCGGGGGAAATATCTTGAAAGGTAAAGGTGGGGCACGGGGAAAAGAAGTTTTTGAGCGTTCTTGTTCAAGCGTTTGAACATCAGCTTATTCAGTTTCAGTGTTCTTTCGTCAGCGAACACGATACTTCTTGGCTGCTTGTAGTGTAAAATCCCTCATGTTTTCTGGCAATTACATTTCTTTTTGCAATGCGTTTATTTGAAGATGGATTTCTGTTACTGAGTGATATCTGGGCGATAGAAGCCAACCGGGCACTCTTTAAAAGACAGCAAGAGCATGCAATAGATGGCGTTAGATAATGGTCGGAGACACACAGTTTAGCCTGGCTTAGCTTCTGCCGACTCCTGAATTCGCCCCAAATACGTCGGAGACTTATACCGGCAGCTTGCTGGATCTTGGTAATCCTGCTTTATGAAAATTTTTATTTCAGTGCAAGCTTCAGACTTGAAAACACGCATGTTCTCGAAGTAATGGTCGCGATAATTTGGGATGTTCTGTTTTGGGATCACGCTGCCACTCACTAGACTATCCTTATTTTCCAGTTTCAAACCAACAGCAGTTAAAGCTAATAAAATATGCAGAGACTTATCCTCAGATGTGCCCTTACTGTGCTGGCTTTGTAGGAGAGGCACAAAATCAGCAGCAGCAGCTACACCAACAGCAGTTAGAAACGGGAGTTACCGATGGGAAGATGTTGAAGACGCAGAACGATTTCAAAGAGGCATACTGGTTTGTTCAGTTTCTAACTTTTCAAAATAGATTTCGTGCAGCTTTTAGCACGTTGTACTTTTCAGCTAGGGAAAATCGATTGCTTGAAGCTGTTCCATTGCCTCTTTTTTAAGGTATTATGATCCAAAAAGCGATGGTTTTTATTATGACTCGAAGGGATCACGTGGGTGGCGCAGACGCAATCCGGCTCGCGAAAGGAAGCAGCTGCAAGAAAGGGTCATTTTTTAATTTCCTTTTCATCCGTGTATATTTGTATTCTTATGTCTTAATCCGCTTGTCGGTGAATTTTGTTTTAGGATGGAGTGACTTTCTGGGCTGATTCGTGTTTGGCACACTATTCTGTTGCTGATCCTTTTGGCTTCCAGTATTGCACTGGCAACATGGGTCATTTCTCTCCCCATATCCAGTAAGATTTTCAGCGTTCCGTTTAATAATTTTGCTCACTCCTTTCTTTCGTACTGATTTTGTTTGTTTCTTTTGGCAGTGTATATGACACAAGCGTTGAAATGTGCTGGAAGTGAAATCATTTTCCAGATATTATGATCCAGAAACGGATGGTTACTACTTTGAAATGCCATCCGTTGATGGCTGGAAAAAACGGCAGCCTCATTCTAGCAACACTGGTGCTGCTCCATCATCACTGCTGACCTACAGCAACAGCAATCGACTGATGATGAATCCAAATGCTTTATCAGCCCCTCCAGCTATCAGTGATTCAATGGATTTACCGCGAACTTCTTATGGAGCAGCCTTAGCTCGGGGGCAGTTACCACCTTGTACCGTTACCGCTAGCAAAGCAATCACAAATAGTACCAAAAATGTGAGCTTTTTTCCACTCATTCATCTTCATTAAGATCTAGCCTGGAATGTAACAGGCTATCTTGCGTTTTTGTGCTAAATTTGAAAAAAACAGGTCGTTAAACATATGAGTGGTTGTTGTTTTACATTTAATTTGCGCGCTCATTGGTGTAAGCCACCGTAAATTTTGCATTAAAAAAAGGGAACAGTTTCCGTCGAACGGTGACCCTTCAGAAATGACCTAGCTGTTCAGTGAGCTCGCTTAAACTTTAACGTGCCTGTATGTGAGGGCTGTCCATACCTTGACGGTTGAATTTGAAGTCTAACTTGTGTTTTCACGTGGACGTACACGCGACTCAGACGCGCATGAAGGTTGGTACCACGTTCCTGGGGCAGCACTTGGCCGGAGAGCCTGTTGGCAAAATTTCAGCGTCGAAGCATGCTTAGTTGCCAACATGAAATATCTGGACAGACACACACACACACAC